TTCACTGAGTTACGCAAGCCCCTTCGCCACGACAAGGCAGTGATCCATGAAGGGGAAAATTCCTGTGTATGAATCAAATGTGAGTTTTTGTCCCATGTGTGGAACATAAATACATAGTTTGGTGATTCTAATCTAAATTAGAAAAAATATATTCTGGTTTGAAGGGGATTGAAATAAATGCTACAAATTTTATGAAAATATTAAGATATAAAATAAAAGGAAAGTATAAAGAAACTGGAGCTGTGTATAATCTTTACTAAAGGAGGTTAATGAAGAAATAATGATATTACTGCCAAAATGGCTGTATAGGGAGTTTGTTTCAGATCTATTTTAATTAACCATTCTGAACCACTTCACCACATGTCAAAATCTGCCAACTTACTGAATCAGGATATTAGCTGGTAAATCTAGATCTATGTAATTGAAAGTAGGCTTGGACTCTAGTCTTGAACTATCTCTGTTAAATATCAGAAAAAATAATATGGTAGTTTTCATTCCATTCAAAAGCCTGAACCAGAGGATTCATCCCAATAATTTGTCAGATTTTAAGACTATCTGAGAACATGTCAAAATTGAGGTAATACATTGGCTGCAATTAAGGAAGAATTAGTATTCTTCACTAGGCAGATTGGGAAAGCTAATCTGGGAAAGTTAGCTAATTTAGAGCTTAATGTGATCTTTGTCTTACTTATCAAAAAGAATGTGAACTTTTCAACAAGCTTGACAGTGACTAAACTCATTCACATAAGAATAATTTTCTTATTGGCAGATGTTTTTATCAGGTATGAAGGAAGATGACTTTAAATGGTGACACAGAAAAGGTTATGATCCTGTTTCATGAAGCTTTTCAGCTGAATTCATGTGCGTATATTGATCATAGAATCTTTCATTACAACACACATAATACTAAGCTAGGTTTTTTATCCATGATTTGTTGAATGAGCTATAGTACCCCAGTTTACACTAAACCATAATGGGCAAGTACACACATCAGTTACAGATTTATAGATTACAGATTTATAGATTTATAGATTACATATTCATTACCTACAGTACCTGTAATTGCTTCATTTTATAAAATATCCTTTCATGATTTATTGTTTGGTTGTTTGATTCAGATCTTTCTATAGTCATTTTATAAAAATGGTGATCTAGGATTCCATATAATTAAAGTTGCAGTTCTCTTTGATTGAAACAGGTTAGATTTATTATATTTTTGTGTTTATATATATAACATATTATGTTACTTAATATATTAAAACTATAATATATTTTTTGTGTTTATATATATAACATATTATGTTACTTAATATATTAACACTATTTTAAAAAATCATATATGCCACAATTGCATGTTTCTATATGCATCTGTGTGTGTGTGTGTGTGTGTATATTTATACATATACACGCACACGCGCGCACATACACACACAGATGGATATAGAAACATGCAATTCTGACATATATGATTTTTTAAAATAGTTTTAATATATTAACTAACATAATCTTGATTTAGTTATACAAGTTTTGAAAGTTCATACTAATGGGAACCTGATTATAGTTTTGAAATACCTAAGAAGATGGCTAAGAGCTATCTTAATTAAAGAGCCCTGGAAAATGGATTCAAAGAAATGTTTTAGAGTTGCTGCAGTAGAATGGGGTTGCATATCTGGAATAAAGTTATCAAATATAAAAATGTGTGAACAAATTCTTTCAAAAATTTGCAAGTATGTAATTATTTTGTAAAGCTGCGTATAGTGAAACTTGGAAGACCTCGTAAGTCATCAAACTAGATAGAATGACTGAGTATTCTCTGAGGTTGTAAATATTGATCTAATAAACTCTTAAAACTCTCTTTATTTTCTGACTAGAAAGACCATACAAGTCATGACTTCTATAAAGGAGCAAGCAGCAATCAGTAGATTAATAACTTTCCTACAGGAATGGGATGGTGCTGGCAAAGTTACTAGAAAACATATTCTTGAAAATTTCATTCTTGCCAATCAAGGCAAGACAGGTCCAGAACTGGAGATAGAATTCTCTCAGGGAGCCAGTTTGTTTTTGGCTCGTATAACTGCTTGGCTCCGGTTGACGTATCCATTTCGAGAATTGATATTCAGGTAGAACAAGGAAGTACTATGAATCTGAAACAGTGTTGAAATTAGCAGGATGGGCTATATATTTTATTGCCCAAATAAGCAGAATTGTAGTCTATCATGGCAAAATAGACAGCCTGTTTTGTGGTATCTTAAAAGCTAACACATTTATTATAGCATAAATAGAACTTGTTAAGCCCAGATGCAGAATTTTTGTAAATGGCTCTAAAAAGAGCAGAGAGGGCAGGAAGAAAATAAATTCAGCTAAGGTTTATTCAGCAGAATTTATTTAAATAAAAGCCTTAACAAAGTCACAATAGCTATATGTATGGAACATGCCTAGAACAACAGTTAAAATCAATTGGCATCTTTCTTTCAGCTGCAAGTGGGTGAGTAAATTGTATTATTTTCAGGAGAGTTGGAAGAACCTTACATTTTTTAGCCTTCTATATTGTAGAAAGAGGGAATGGTCTTCAATATACTCTCCTTGCATTATTAAAAGATATATAGGAAGTTCTACTGCTGATGATGGTTCCGTATTTTTCTTGCTTAATGAATTTCTCTTTTTTGTACTCTACTTCCTGAAGACATTCACTTATTTACAAGTTCTTGAAAATAAAAGATAGTTGCTGTTTTAAATATTCTTTGGTAGTATCAAGAATACACTGACTGAATAACCTTAGCCTATCCCAAACTGGAGAAATGTAATATAATACTTTATGATACAGTAGCAAATTTTATCAGATTTGAAATCATGCAACATAGCTGCATATCAAGGATTGAAGCAATTCCAGAAATAACCACTGGAAGCATTTTGATGAAATCTGAAACATCCTCCTTCAGTTTGTCTGGATGGGATGCAAATTGCTAAATGTCAAATTGAAACAGCCAGTTCCAATTTTCTGTAATAAAATTATTGCTAACATGTATGTCATCACAAAAAGGAAAACAATGAGGACAATGACAGTTTAGTGAGAAAGCATCAACAAACATCTGTTGAGTAAGTGAAGTAATGTTAAATAATGTTCTATATGTAGACATAGACATTCACACAACTCCATAAAGCCTTTTGTTTTCTTCTCCAAATTTTTGCAGCCAGCGATATCTTCTTGAATTCCTGGAAATTGGTGGTATCCTCACACTATTGGAAATACTTGGGCTGAAGCAACTGAAAGAGGAAGACAAAAGGGAGTCTGTAAAACTTCTTCAGTTAGTGGCAAATTCTGGCAGGAAATTCAAAGAGCTTATTTGTGAAAGCTATGGTAGGTTTATTTCAACATGTACTGTTTAAGAGAAGCAGTTTAGGGGTCTCAGGATTATTATTTTCTCACACATCTAATCATCTTTTCAGTCTCTGTGAATTTAATTGAAAGAAAATAGTGCTTCCTTTCTGTAATTCAGCAGAATGATGAATAATCATTTCACTGATCCAATTTACACTGATTTTAAAAAGCTGGAAGTCTTTGGTCTTCACAAGAATGATTTCCTATAACAGGGTATTGTGGCTTTTTTTTTCTTTATTGCAGTACGTTAGAGCCATGTGTAAGTCGAGGCATAATTCCCCTTTGAAACTGCTGCAAATTACTAAGTTTCCAAAATTTCCTTACTTGGGTAGAGTTGGGATAAAGCATTCCAGCTACTAGCATGTGGAAAGTTAATTCCAAGTATCTTCAGAGGAATTTATTTATTTATTTATTTATTTATTTATTTATTTCCCTTTCATGCACTCAAATAGCCTATAGCAGTATTTTCCTTAAACTCTGATTATCCTTTTCTCTAAGACATGGGTACATAACATGTGGACTCCAGACATTGCTGAATCACAAATTCCCACAATCCCAGCCAGTACAACCAATTATGAGAATGCTGGAAGATGTAGTTTAGCAACATTGTGCATCTATGCATAAGGACTCCTGTTCTAAGGAACAGTTTCTTTTATATAAAACAAACAAGAGTTTGTGCAACTCAAATGTAAATCCAACTGAGTTAGTTGGATTAAGTTTGCACATCTAAGGATTGTAGCCTTCAGCTTGCATAATTTCAGAAACTGGCCTACTTAAAAAGCCAGATGTAATTAACAGTTGCGTCCCGCAAACCAGTACATATATAGTCTGCAGCATTTGCAAATATGCAAATATTATAATTGTTGATAATTCACATGTATAATATGACACATATTTTAGCTAATTGAGATGTAACACCTTCATATAGTTTTGTTTCCCATTATAAAGTCATAATGTCATATGAAGTTTTATGGGAAACAAGATTCCCATAAACAAGTTTTATGGGAAGCAATATTCTTTTCAAGATGTTCTTGGGCATTGCTAGAAATAATCTACAGTAACAGAATGTAGGGTATGAACAACCATATGATTTGTCCCATTTAGGGTAAATTTGACATTAAAAGTATATTTGTTTTTAATATACATATTTTAAAAACTGAATAGTGGTGAGATCAGTCATTATTAGGATTGCAGAATTGAGTTATTGACAAAAACTATTTAAAGATATTTGCCCATTTGAAGCATCAATGAGAGCATTCTTCCCAGTGCAAATTGAAACTTGTTTAGGATGATGGGGGAGGGGGGAGAGGATTAAATCCTTTTTCTCCACTAATGTGATCCTCAAAATTATCTGCATTCCACAGCTGCTGATTTTTAATATTACTTACAATGACACATTTAATGTTATGCTGAGTTTGGTCCTTAGCTGAGTTGAATTCGGACCTTTATACATGATCTTATGGTATTTTGTAACTAGCAGAAAGGAGAGCTGTTTGAAACTTAGTAGCAGAGAAAACAATATTGATGATTTAGTGCAAGGGTCAAATCCTAGATCACCAGTGTAGATTTACAAGTTGGACCTGCAGCATTACATCTGAGGTATATCCTCACTCAGAAAATAAGTTTATCCAGTTGTCCAACTAAGTTATTCAACTCTTCCAATCAATTTTGCAGATGTAATTATTTATTGCAGTCTGCAAATCTTGGGATTCACAAAGCATATCAATACCTCCTCCCATCATCCCCACCCTTTTGTGGCCCTATTTTGTTTGCAATCTGCTTGATACTCACCATTTCCTATATGGAGGGAATTCTTGCCAGCAGTATTTGCCATAATCAATATTCTTTACAAAATGTTTTTATTGGTTAATTGATATTGCTGATGAATTCAAAGGTACAATTTACTTAGCAGATTTTTCTTAACCTGGCTGTTCAGAAAGCTTTTTCTTACACAGGCGTGCGATCAATTGCTGAGTTTTTGGCCATTTCCAAGTCAGAAGCAACGCAAGATCAAGTGCAGATTCTTCTGGATACTTTAGGACATGGCAACCCCAAATATCAAAATCAGGTGTACAAAGGGCTGATTGCTCTTTTAAAGTGCACTTCTCCCAAAGCCCAGCAGCTGTCACTACAAACACTCAGGACAATACAGGTCAGCAAAATAGATGGGAAGTGGGATAATGCATAAAGGTACTGTATGCAACCTCAGTTTTATGGATTGTGTGGAATCTCATTTCCTTTAAATCAGTTAGGTTGATAGATTTGCAAATGCAGTGACCAACAGTAATAATGCTGTGGAACTGTCGAGGCATATGCTCATAACTGAGAATGAAATAGGAAGCTTTCTACAGCTACACTGAGTTGCATTGCACATCTTTGAACCATGACATTTCGTTATCTTAGGCATTACAGTGGTACCTCGGGATACAAACTTAATCCGA